TATTTGAAATCAAATACTATGATTGTTGTAATATTTTTCAGTCTCGATTATTTTCTTGACGCAAATTTATTGTCTACAAATTCTGACACACACAGTGGGACTTTCTCTACCTATAATCTCAACTTTTCAATCACCAAAGTCTAAGAACATCGAAATGGCTTCAAAGAAAATCAACTCCAGATCAACTTCCACTAAGGTTGCTAATTTCAGGTTCTACACTGATGTGAAAAATATCCTCGATGTTACCTTTGGAAGCTTTGGACCAGTTACAAGGAGCAAAGCAAGCTCTTTAGGATAACAAGCACTACAAGTGTCGTCCGTATCAACCCTTATTTTTGGATCTTCATCCTCAAAAGGATCAAGATCATCTATGAACGCACCTAAAGGAGGAAGCAATGTTGCTGAAAAGAATAAGAAAACTCTTGCTTTGCTTGACCTCTCCGGATCCAAGAACTCTGTTGTGAAGGAAGATGGTGATATTTCAAGCGATGGATCCTCCCCACTTACACCGCATAGTGTGAGCTATTCGAGGATCAATCTGTGTGATAATCCATGCTACTCTCCATCGTCCACAACAATCATGCAAGCCATGGTGACAAACGCTTCATCTGTGGAGGAGTAGTTAGCAAACTTGACGGAAGCTATCGCTGGCTTGACCAAGTGCATGCAAAATCAATATTCTAGAATTGACAAGCTAACAGACAGGGTGGGAATCTTGATGGAAAAAGAATCTACCCATACACCTGGAAAGATCCCAGAAGTTCCAGAGAGTGATTCTCCGCCAAGACAAGTAGCATCCGCTAAGGCTATCCTTGTCTCATCTGAAAGGATGATTCCAATTGATCAACTGAAGGATTCATTGAAGGAACTATTAAAAATAAGTATGAAGTTGCTGCCAAGTACTCTCTTATATACGCAAAGTCGTATACTGCAAGAATCGATATGTTGAAGATGTCTGTTGGGCTATCAACTTTCCAAGTTTCAACAGTTTGATGGTAAAGATAATCCAAAATAACATGTGGCGCACTTCGTTGAGACGTGCAACAATACTAGGACTTATGGAGATTACCTTGTCAAGCAGTTTGTCCACTCGCTAAAAGGAAATACTTTTGACTGGTACATAGACCTCGAGACTGGATCTATTGATAACTGGGATCAACTGGACCAAGAGTTCCTCAATCATTTTTATAGCACGAGACGTACTGTGAGTATGATAGAACTTACAAATACTCGTCAATGAAATGGTGAACCAGTTATCGACTTTATCAATCGTTGGAGGAATTCAAGCCTCAACTACAAAGACAGGCTTAGTGAAGCTTCTGGCATAGAAATGTGCATCCAAGGCATGCACTGGGGACTATGCTACATCTTGCAAGGTATCAAGCCTAGCACATTTGAATAACTTGCGACTCGTGCCCATGACATGGAGTTAAGCATGGCCTCCGCTGGAAATGTAAGGCTACCTATCTATGAGTCTCGCAAAGGGGACGACAAGTAAGAAGTCAAGAAATGGAGCAAGTTTGTACCCAAGTCTGAAAACAAAGAAGCTATAAATGTCAACACATCACCTATGAAGTTCACAATGAAGGTGAGCAAGAAGCAAAGCACGAAGTCCACTTCTTTTCAAGATAAGCCAAGTGTAAAGTTGACTCTAAAAGAAATGCAAGAGAAGGAGTACCCATTTCTGGATTCTGATGTTCCAACTATTTTTGAAGAACTTCTCGAGTTAAATCTCATTGAGCTTCCGGAGATGAAGCGACCAAATGAAGCTGGGAAAACGAATGACCCAAATTACTGTAAATACCATCGACTTGTGAGCCATCCTCTGGAGAAGTGCTTTGTCTTCAAGGACAAAGTTATGGATTTAGCTCGTGAAAAGAAAATCATGCTTGAAGATAAGAAAGCAAGCGCAAACCAAGTCTCTATCACCTTTGGCTCATTCAGTCCAGACGAATTATGTAGTTTCAAAGAAAGTAAAAATGAAGAATTACTAGAGAACAACAAGGTTGAAGTTGATCAGTCTGATGATGATGAAGGTTGGACATTGGTGACTCGTCGAAGGCGCCACAAAAGAGGCTCACAAAAAGAATCAAAAGAACAACCAACAAGGAAAATAATGGTAAAAAGACCAAAGAAACAGAATCCACTTAGGCGTTTAAAGAAAGCAAAAGTGGAGGTGTACCACCATCAAAAGCCACACATCTAGTGACCTTGGAGGAGTTCTTGCCAAATTGGTTTCGCATGAAGATTTTCCGTGATGGTAGTGAGGCTTTTTTGTTGCCATGCTGGCAAAGGGGAAGAAAACAGTGATGACCTACCGTTGGCACCATCTTCAGAAAAGCTCATTGAGTCCATCCCTCAAGAAGTTAATGCTTGCGAGGAAAAAGTTACGTTCACGAATGACGATCTTATACTTGGTGACACTCCTCATAACTGCCCAGTATACCTGGTTGGCTATATGCACGATGAAAGGGTAAATCAAATTTTGTTCAATGGAGGATCCTCAATGAATATCTTGCCAATTCGCACTGTGAAAGAACTTGGTATTCCCATGAACAAATTCTCGAAAAGTCGTGTAATTATTCAGGGATTCAACCAAGGGGGAAAAGAGCCATAGGCGCGATCAGGTTGGGGATCACCATTGAAGATATGCAATCAAGTGCATGGTTGCATGTGATCGATGCAAAGACTTCATACAACGTCTTGATTGGAAGGCCTTGGATATATAAGAATAAAGTGGTTCCATCTACCTACCATGAATATTTGAAGTACTACAAGGGAGAAGTCGAGAAGAAGATAGTTACTGATGACGAACTATTCACCGAGGCTGAATCACACTTCGCCGATATAAAGTTCTACTTGAAGAACCGCATTGTGAAGGAGTTAAAAACTGGTATTGTCAAGAATGACGAGTCCACGACTAAGAGAGCTGAGGTGGTTGCCGACAAAACCGAAGTTGTTACTGAGGAGGTAACCCAAACTCAAATAAATCTAATAAAGGGAACGTTGTGTCTCACGATAAGAAAGTAACTCATGCGCTCCGCTATGTCCCTAAAAAGAAGAAAGAGGAGGGAGGATCATCCAAACCAATATGCTAAGGGAGTTAACTCTTCCGATCAAAGGAATTGGGCAGTAGCGTTGCCATCAACGCTACTTGCATGGTTTGTGTCCCAAAATAATTCGTAGAATGTGGCACTCATACGAAGCGTATAGATAAAGACTTTGATCCTAATGCTTGCAAGATATTTGCAAAAGCTGGATATAATCCCAATGAGCCGTCAAAATTAGGGAATCTGCTACGAGGCAACCACGTGAAGGTCTGAGATACAAGCAACCTTCGCCGGTTCGCATCTCTATAAGAAGGGCAAGCAATAATTATATCACTATAAAATATGAATTTGCCACTTCTAACAGGTCTTCTGTCTTTGATCGACATGGAAAATCAACTATGAGGACTTCCGTATTTGAGAGATTGGGTCCATTAAAGAAGGGGAACAAGTTCCAGAGAAATTATCAAAGCATAAGAACACCCGCTTTGCCCAGAATCTAGAAGATCTCTAAGGTTTCCAAAGTTTGGTTCCTTCTAGAATGAGGCAACAAACAAAACTTGTGGTTTCATATAAATAAGTACTGAAGGTAAAGCCATATACTGTGGTTTATACTAAGGAACATGGCAAAGACGAAGAAAGTATGGGTTCTTCGTATTATGTTACTGCACAAGGCGAGAATGGTGTTCCATCTCTAATGGAGGATAATGACAAATTGGAGGGTGTTTTACCGTGTTACCACATATCTTTCAATGATGAAGATCCTCAAGAAGATGAGGATGCGAAAGATGCTTCCCCGGAACTTGAAGAAGGGGTGAAGGCAACGATTGATGCCTTAAAAGAAGTTAACCTTGGCACTGATGAAGAACCAAGGCCCACTTACCTAAGTGCTTTACTAGCAATCGATGAAGAAAGCACTAATATCGAGTTACTCAAGGAGTTCAAGAATGTCTTTGCTTGGAGTTACAAAGAGATGCTTGGCTTGGACCCTAAAGTAGCAGTTCATCACCTTGCAGTCAAGAATGGCGTCCGTCCTGTTAAGCAAGCCCAAAGGCGCTTTAGGCCGGACTTGGTTTCCTTGATCAAAAGTGAAGTTAACAAACTCATTGAAGCTGGATTTATTTGTGAAGTTAAATACCCAACATGGGTTTCAAGTATTGTTACCGTGAGAAAAAAGAATGGCCAAATTCGAGTGTGTGTTGACTTTAGGGATCTCAATAATGCATGCACTAAGGATGAATTCCCACTTCCTATTCCAAAGCTTATGATTGACACTACCACTGGGTATAAGGCAATGTCATTCATGGATGGTTCATCAGGCTGTAACCAAATTCACATGGCACCAAAAGATGAAGAACTTATGACATTCCGTACCCCAAAGAATATTTATTTCTATAGGGTAATGCCTTTTGGCTTGAACAACGCTGGTGCTACTTACCAAAGGGCTATGCTGAATATTTTTGATGACCTTCTCTACAAGAATGTTGAATGCTATGTTGACAACTTAGTGGTAAAATCAAGAAAGATGAGCGGCCACTTGGTGGGTTAATGCAATGCACTGACTTTTTCTCCTTTTTGGTTGCAGATAAGGATGCAACTGGTGAATCCAAGTTCAGAGAGCATAAGGAATGGGTGTGATTCGCAATTAGGATTGGAATATACCTATTTGCAACCAGTAGTGTGACCGATCTGTGTTCAAAACAACCAATGACGCTAGCGTGGCCAAGCTGGAGAAATCAGCTTATTTTGACAAGTGCTTTTTTCAAAAGTGCTTTTGAAAAAATATTTTTGGAGAGAAGCAGTTTGTGTTTGGCTAATCACTCTGAAAAGCACTTTTGAGAAATAATTTGTGTTTGACCAAACTTTTCAGAAAGTGCTTTTAAGTATCAAATTACGAATAAGGACACGAATAAGTATCAAATTTGTGTTTGACCGCATAGCCCTGGCTTGATTCCGTATTGTGCTACTTTCTTTGTGTTCACTGACTACATGAGAGGAGCCATGCGAATTTCAGCCTTGTCTGAAGCTGGAGTTATTTATGTTATGACCCACGATTCAATTGGTCTAGGAGAAGATGGTCCAACCCATCAACCTATTGAGCACTTGGCAAGTTTCCGTGCAATGCCCAACATTCTGATGTTCCGTCCAGCAGATGGGAATGAGACAGCCGGTGCTTACAAGGTGGCTGTCCTCAGAAGCAAGACACCATCAATCCTTGCCCTCTCGACAAAAGTTGCCTCAACTTGCTGGAACTTCTATTGAAGGAACAGCAAAGGGTGGCTACATTGTATCAGACAATTCTTCAGGCAACAAACCTGATGTCATTTTGATCGGTACTGGCTCAGAGTTAGAAATTGCTGTCAAGGCTGCCGATGAACTCAGGAAAGAAGGAAAGGCAGTGAGAGTTGTTTCCTTTGTTTGTTGGGAGCTTTTCAATGAGCAGCCAGCTGACTACAAGGAAAGTGTCCTTCCAGAATCTGTTACAGCTAGAGTTAGCATTGAAGCTGCATCAACATTTGGGAGGCAGAAAATTGTTGGAGATAAAGGAAAAGCCATTGGAATTGATGGATTCGGTGCTAGTGCTCCTGCCGGAACGATATACAAAGAATTTGGTATTAAAGCAGAGGTTGTTGTAGCTGCAGCTAAAGAAGTTTCTTAGGCATTATTAGTTACCATTCTTGGTTGCTGGTGGTCTACTGAATTGATTTCATTTAGGTTATGAGATGTGATAAAATGGTGGAAACGATATCAAATGGACTCTCGCCACAGTTCACAGCCGCCTGAGATTTAAAATAAGGGTGAAACATCTTTTTCTTCATTTGAGCCACCTGAACGAATCCAAGATTAGGACAGAAATTAGGCACATCGATGCTCCTGAACTTGTACACTTACAACATACATATGTTGAGTTCGTAATTTTATTTGGATTCATTGGTTATGTGGTTGACATGTGGTAGTTGAATTTTCTGGGCTGTCCTCATTGTCTCCTCTCCCACTTCTCTTGAGTGATGAGTGATTACTTAAGTGAAAGTTATGGGTGGTCCTTCAAGCTATTTTTGTCAGATCCTTATTTTGTTGGATTGTTGTAGGCCAGTACTACGTACTAGGCGGTTGGAGATGGCCCGGCCCCTTCAATTAGAATAATGATTTTAGGAGTCCGAAACCAAAGTGTGATTCTTTTGGACTCAAGCGACACAAATATGTTAAAAAGAAAACTGGGCACCATTTTAGGGGGAAGTGTACGGTTAGCCACTAATTAGAGATGTCTTTACTCTTTAGCCACTGTTTAAAATGTATTTACTTTTTAGCCAGTGCTTAATAATATTTTTAACCGCCCGGACGAAAATACCCCTGTGCTAATATTAAGGACATGGTATCCTTAACTTCATGTATGCTCTGTAAATATTAAGGACAAAATGTCATGTATTTGCACTTTCCATTATTAAACTTTAGGACATCATGTCCTTAACTTCATATGTGCAGTGTAAATATTAAAAACATGATGCCCTTAACGTCATCTGTGCAGTGTAAATGTTAAGGACATAATGTCCTTAACTTGTATTTGCACCTTCTCTTGTTAAACTTTAGGACATCATGTTCTTAACTTCATATATGCAGTGTAAATATTAAGGACATGGCGTCCTTAACTTTATGTGTGCAGTGTAAATGTTAAGGACATAATGTCCTTAACTTGTATTTGCACCTTCTCTTGTTAAACTTTAGGACATCATGTTCTTAACTTCATATATGCAGTGTAAATATTAAGGACATGGCGTCCTTAACTTTATGTGTGCAGTGTAAATGTTAAGGACATAATGTCCTTAACTTGTATTTGCACCTTCTGTTGTTAAACTTTAGGACCTCATGTCCTTAACTTCATATGTGTAGTATAAATGTTAAGGACACGGTATCCTTAACTTTATGTGTGCAGTGTAAATATTAAGGACATCGTGTCCTTAACTTTATGAGTGTTGTGTAAATATTAATGATATTTTGTCCTTAACTTCATATGGTTAGTGTAAATATTAAGGACATGGTGTCCTTAACTTCATGTGTGCAGTGTAAATGTTAAGGACACCATGTCCTTAATATTTACACAACACTCATGAAAAAAGGGTAAAAATATCTTTTCGTAATAATTTTAATAGAGTAGTGGTTGTTTTTGCTCAGCATTAAAAATACTGGATAAAAAATAAATATTATGCTAAAAAGTAGCTATCCCACGCCATTTCCACACCATTTTATATATAACACGGTTATTCACCGCGCTATACCTTAATGGCAGTTTTATCCGTTAAGGTATAGCGCGGTGAACAACCGCTCTATATTTGAACTTAAATTATTTTGTGATTAAATTAATTTGTTATTTTTTATCCGGATTAGATTATTTATGTGCTAAAAGATTAGTAAAATTGATAAATTATTATTTTATGAATAATTAATGTTATTTAGATTTTATTATTGTACATATATTAATATGTGACTTTATTATTGTTTAGTGCCCTTTAGTGTTATGTTGTGCCCGTAATTATAATGTAGTACCCGTAATTGTAATGTAGTGCCTGTAATTGTAATGTAGTGCCCTTTAGCGTAGTAAAATGTAGTGTCTTTTAGCGTAGTATCTTTGTAGTTATTAAAATTAATCATTTAATTATCTGTTAACCTCGAAAATATTTGAAAAAAAGATGACAGTTCAAACACAAACTCTCTCGAATGTTAGTCAACAAATGTAAGAAAATAACATAAAAAAATAATAATATTTGTCAAACTAAGTATTTTTATATGAATACTTATTAATTATATCATGTATAGTTATAAAATAATAAACTAACATATAAAATAAGAAACAAACATAGAAAGTAATAAACTAACATATAAAATAATAAACAAATATATAAAATAATAAACTAACATATAAAATAAGGAACAAAGATATAAAATAATAAACTAACATATAAAATAAGGAACAAAGATATAAAATAATAAACTAGCATATGGAATAATAAAATAATAAACTAGCATAGGGAATAATTAACTAGCATATACAATAATAAACTAATATATAAAATAATAAACTAATATATAGAATAATTAACTAACATATAAAATAATAAACTAACATATAAAATAATAAACTAATATATAAAATACTTTCCATAGATATGAGTGTTGTCTATGGATATTACCGGCCGACAAAGCACAAAACCATCAATGGCTGGTTTAAATGCCTAGAATATGTATTCTGGTATTCCCGGTCTCTGCTCAAGCTTCCATTCAACAACAGTCCCGGGGTTAAAGTGTTGCAATGCAGCCATGTACCTGGGTAGTACGGAAAATGACTTATCCCAGTTACTTTAAACAATTTCAAACGCACGTTTACGCCCGAGAAATGCCTTTCTTTTGGTAATGGTACATCCATATACCTGGTGGACATATTTTATACACTCTTTGATCTTGTACCTTATGGACGCTTCAATGTGTGGAATCAAGACAAGAGAAATCAAGTCAACATTCAAGTTAAAATGATTCCCACTGAATGTGTCTATTTTACAATTGTGGGTACCAATGTATTTCCCCAAAATCCACATATTTCTTTTCAATTTTCTCGCATGCAGCATCCAACTACAACCTTGAAACTATCTATGACAAATAACCTTGTATACTTCCGGAGAGAACTCATGAACCACGATCTCATGATACTCTTTTATGTTGTACATTCGCATCGCCCTGCTTAGGCGCACTTTATCAGCAAAAAGCATGCCCTTTGACAATACCGTTGCTCTAGATTCTTCCCACATTGCTGTCCGAATTTCATCAAGATCCCTTGTGAGGGCATCGACATCTGGCATACTTGGCAACTGATCAAGGTAGGGAACATCCCTTGAATGAAACGACACATGAGACTCGTACACTCTTGGTCTAACGGGAGGTGGAGCATGCTCCCTCGTCAAATCAGGTTCATTATTCTCGTCCTCATCACTGTCACCCTCATCAGGGAAGGGTGTGTCATCTCTAGACTCGTTAGCATTGTTGTCATAATCACTATCATCTTCCTGACTCTGCGCATCTTCCAGATCCCGATTAAATATGTCGTCTTCGGACAATTGAGTAAGGACATGACCTTCACGTTGCTCATTTTCACTGCACAACCAATAAAATAATAAGTTTCTCAATTTCATCCAAACTTTACATATAAACTTTATCACTTCACTTACAAAGCATAATGTGTTAATATCTCATGATGCATATTATCCTGTGGGTGATGACTCCCGGATGGACCACCATGATCCAACACACTAAAACTAGGCATATTCCAACTGTCCGTTGGTTCATAACTTGTAAAATTCATATCTGGTTGGTACCCCCTGTGGAATATATGAGTGTTAATACAAATTCAATACATAAAAATAAATATCGTAATACAAAGGAAAATTAAAGTTTACCACTCGGCTTATGGATTATGTAAACTTGGGGAGAAATTATGTCCTCGCTCCCCATTCGCCCGTGGAGATAAGTTTAGATCAGGCCAAACTCTTTCACTCAGAACCTGTTCGGCTAAAACAGCTCCAAAATAACCACCCGATGATTGAGGGATATCCCTACTTTGCAGAACCTCATTATTGCGAATGTCTTCAGCCTTGATGTACATTTCCAATATTTTTATCACAAGCAGTTCCCGGTGTTCATCCGGAGTCCTCAAAAAATCTGTTAGAGTTTCATCGTCTTCGATGTTAAACTCAGCATAATAAGCAACCCCTTGCGGAGTAACAGAATACGGATATCTTCCGGTTACTTTAATATTCACCGAACGTTTTCTCACACTCATTTTTTTTACATAACAACGATACCAATCTATCGTACTCCATTGTAAGTGGCAACTTAACATGACACTGAGGAGAACAACTATAGTGTACTGAGTTATTCTTCGCCACAACCTCACCCCCAATATAATGAAACCCTAATTTTTTGCTCTTCGGGCATTATGACAAAATGCAAAATAACTTAACGAACAAATATTTTGGAAGACTTGAAGGTACATTCTGAATGAATTTTTACCAAATTCTGAAACTCCTTAAATAAGAAAAAAACCAGTCTGGGGGGTATAATTATTTGATGTATAGCGCATGCATAATAAGCGTTATACCCATATGAATTATTGGTGGGTCAGTTAAGTGCAGATAAATTATTAGTGGGGTCATATTTTATATATAGCGCGGTTATTCACCGCGCTATACCTTAACGGACAAAATTGTTATTAAAGTATAGCGCGGTGAATAACTGCGCTATATATAAAATGGTGCCCATTTTTGTTTTAAAACCTATTTGCGTCGCTTGAGTCCAAAATAACCACACTTTGGTTCCGGACTCTGTTTTTAGCTTGTTGACCCAAGTGAAGGTTTGTTTTGAAGATTGACAAAGGAAGCTCAAACATGAACCAGGTCCATCCCTTGTGTGCATAGACACGGGCAGATTCGAGCATATGGGATGCTCGTGAAGGAGATAAGCTTAACTTGGTATAATTGATATCTCCTAATCGAAAATGTTGCATAATTGATAAGGAGAAGGACTCTTTAATCAAAGAGAACACTATCCAAAATAAAGGAGGAGTTAGAAGTTGAGATCAACTAGAACTCTTCCACCAAGCAAGAGTAGCATTAG